ATTCGGATAATATTTCTAAAAGATTTACAAATGGATATGCTGATTCACCAATCATTGGTGGTTCTAGAACCGCTAAGCCTACGTTACATGCAATTCAAATACTTAATTCTCGTGTAACTTTTGGTGTCGGCCCTGGGATCAAAATCAAACCAAATAGTTATTGTAACAAGGGTGGTATGGGTCATTTGAGTAGACATCTGCTCACACAAAAGCGAGAGGAAGATGAAGGGAGAGAAACAACCCAAACAAAGATTGGGAGGGGGAGTAGTTTTAGTACTTTTAGATATTCACAAGAAAAAAATGAAACAAGAACTTGCTAAGTATATTATACATGCAGAACAACCATTTATACTAGCTGAAGACCCAAAGCTAGAAAAAATGGTTGTGTAGTTCTGTAAACCCACAATATAAAAAAGATTCTAGGAATACTATAAGAACTGATGCTTTAAAATATTTTTATTCATATAAACAAGCATTTAATTTCCTTGTTAGCAAATCTTAATTCTAAAGTTGCAATTACTTCGGATTTTCGGACATCCAAATTTAATATTAGTTATATTTGTGTTATCGGCCATTTCATTGATGAAAATTGGCTTTTGAATAAAAGAATTTTAAGTTCTATTATGCTTGAATGGCCACATAGTGGCCCAGCTATTGCTGCAAGTATTTTAAATACTTTGCATTCTTTTCTATTACTTTTGATAATGCCAACAATAATGATTCTGCAACAAATATTTTAAAATCTCAATTAAACCATGCTTAAATGGTAAATTATTTCACATTAGATGTGCATGTCATATCTTAAATTTATGTATTCAAAATGCCTTAAATATTATTTCTACTCATATTTCAAAAATTAGAAATTGTATTATATATATATATATATATATAAGTTCAGGGGCAAAAAAACAAGAATTTAAATATTTATGCCAAAATTATGGTTTAAAATATAAACATTTTATATTAGATGATGTAAAGCATAGGTGAAATTCTACCTATCCTATGTTAAAAAGTTGTATATATCATAAACAAATTCTTTCTGATTTTTATAATACAAAAATGCCTAATGAAATGATATTTGAGGAAGACTAGAAAATTGCAATCTGTATAAGAGATTTTTAAAAAAAAAAAATTTATGATGCAAGAAATGAATTATCTAGAATTTATTATCCAAGTAGTTGTAATTTACCATATCAACTAATGGTAATTAGTGATTGTTTTGTTAAATATAGAAATAATCCACAATTTCAATGTATTGTTGAAATTATGGAAAATAAATTTAAAAAATATTGGGAGAACATTTCTCCCCTTCATTGTTTAGCTACAATATTCACTACAGAAAAAACATTTCTTGGTGACGGTACGTAAACGTTGGCATACATTGGCACACATTGAGGCAATATTAGAAATTAATTCCTCTCTTCACTATGAACTATCAGCCTATACCTGATCACATACCTAAGGGGCCATTTGACAACAGCAACTTGGTCTTTTTAGTGAATAAATTATATATTCAGGAGGTTGCAAGAAACTCTTCTTAATGGCCGAAGCTAGAGTTGGGTTGAATTACAAAGTAATGTGCCTTGAATATTTACTCAGAAAAGACAAAACAATAAGCCATTCAATTCAGCCATTTCAACTAACATTAAAGTATTCAAGAATAATATTCTCCATACAACGTATTCAAGAAACAAAATTTGGACAGCCCCCATGAAGGAATCAGCCCATCAAACTATAAAGACTTGAGGCAAATCAAAGTTTTATAACACTTGCCTAGAGAAGGAAGAACTGCACTATCAAAGTATCTAAGTCTAAGACGATCAGATCCTTCCTTTCCTTTTTCTTTCTATGAAGAGATTTTGTTTCTGTTTGCTTTTAGATAAAAGATCTTGCTTTTCAGCCTCTTCTATGAGCCCTGTGGAATTGATCAAGAGGATCTAAGAGTTAAGTCTGAAACAAAATGATGCAGGTGCAAGCATGGAACTTATTCGTAAGAAAGAGGTTTCAAAACTCAATTTCTGGTTAGTAGTCATTGATTCCTTGGTGCTAGATTTCAACTAAGCATGATCAAAGTGGAACATTGTTGTCAAAATCACAAATGAGGCAACTATATGAAGTTCTTTAAATTGACTTGTAAAACTGCCAAAAGCTTTTACCCTAGCAAAAATTCTTAATTTGCATTTCTTTTCACTCTGTTGGCTGGTTCATAGATTATGTTATTCCATCACCAAATGACTTTTAGATGCCAACAGAGAAAATTTGCCACATTTCAGTGATTCATTATTCTTGTTCTTTTTTAGCATTTCTATACTAGTTTGAAGAGGGATCAATTTTCAAGATTTTACCTGAACCGGAAGAGGAGTGGGAAACAAGGCATCCAGTCCTTGACGGTGCGCTAACAGCTCCACCATGGACTCCAATCATGCTATTTTTGCTTGAAGATCACCCACCTGTCCTCGAAGCATTTGGTTTTCTTTCTGCATCGCAAGAGGTGGCTGTACTATTAGTGGTGCTTTTGGACCCATTGGTTCTGAAAGCACGCTTTGGATATTCAGCAATATGATTCTAAAAACTTCATTTTCTTAAACCTGAAGTAATCCATCCAAACGACACTAACAAGCCTATAAATTAGTAAATATATCTCATGGGACACCCAACAGAATTTAGAGAGAGAGAGAGAGAGATTGTGGTAGCAAAGGGGGTTGGCAAGATGGTTAGATGACATTATCAGGTCCATAAGATTGAATGGCGGTGAAGTTGATGGCTCAATGGTGACTAACTGGGGGGAGGAAACGATAATAGAGATCATGGAGAATCGGATTTTGGTTGTGATCCTGGGAAATTTTAAGCAAACCCAAGAGAATCACATTTTGGTTATCTTTGAATGGATAAGATATATTCATGCTATAAAATTATTATAGCATGCAATCCATTAGGTTTTCAAATTTTTATCACCCAATGCCCATAAATTAGAAGATGTCCTTACTTGAGAAAAGAGACTACTGAAAGAATACTTCAAGGTAGGAATGTTTTAAGCAAGAGAAAAAAGAGAAAGCTTCAGAAATCTTCACCAGAGTTCACAACCAGTAGAAGCTTGAGCGATCTTTATCAATACAATAAAGAATTTAAGGGACCAAGAAACTTTAATGAATTTTCAAAACTATAGAAGCTTTACGTAAGGGAGCTCCAGAGATTGTTCTACTGGTCTAAAAGCTCAAAAGCCCTTCATTAATAAAGGTTCTAGATCTCAAAATTTGCATTGCTATATTCATGTTTTGAACATTTTGTTTTTTGACTGCCACAACACTCTTCTCCATACAACATTGCTAGCCTTGTAGCTGTTCCTAAATTTTTTCTTTTAGCCTCATAGCCCATCTTCTCTATCATTATCTCCCTTCATTAAAGTATGCAGTTTGTTCATTATTCACTAGAATAACTTATAAGGCAATAGTAAATACTAAATACTCTAACTCTAGTTCTGTGGCTAGATAAAGTAAATGTAACTAAACATTTGCAAATCCATATGCCAAATGCTAGGTTAGAAGAATGGGCCCATGGCATTCATGATAGTAATATTGCCTGGGGTTTGCAAAAACAAGTTTTGAGACTTGGTTAAATAAACATAGCATGAGCATATACCACCAAATCAAACAAAGCATCTCACTGCATTTTTTTAAAGGGCTTTTTGGGTGTTGTGTTACCTTTGAATGTTGGACAATGGTCCTTGTGTTGTGGTTGCTGGTTACTGAGGAGTTGATGAGCTAATCACCAAATACGAATAGCTATAGAATGGACAAACAAGAACCCCGAATCAGGAATATTAGAAGAAGAAGAAAAAGAAATAGTTGCGGACTTGAGAGTTGAAGCATCTCATTGCAGGGTTTTATAGGTGTTGTGTTACCTTTGAAAGTTGGACGATGGTCCTTGTGTTGTGGTTGTTGGTTATAGAGGAATTGATGAGCCAAGCACCAAATAGGAATAGCTGTAGAAAGGACAAACAAGAACCCCAAATCAGGAATATTAGAAGAAGAAGAAGAAGAAATAGTTGCAGACTTGCAGAGAGCTGATTGCTGATTGTTGAAAGTCTGAGACCGTCAGTCGTCGCTTCGTCGGACGTCGGTCGTCGGACGTCGTTTGTGAGAGAGCTTGTTACGTCTGAATCTCTGAGACTGGGAGTAAAATTTTCTCTATCGCGCGAAGAAGGAAGAGGAAGCTAGACGAAGGGTTTTTGATTTGTTAATTCGTTTGATTTGATTTTCCTTCTTTACTCTTTAGAATCTTCACTCTCTAATCTCTCTAATTTGAAATGATAGAATGTGATGGGACCAACATTAAAATGTGTCTCCTCCACTAACATTTGTTAAAAAGGCATAATATATAAATACTATATATTTTTTTATTTCTAAATATAAATATTATATACATATCAATATTCATACATATATATATATTTATAAATACATTTTTTTATTATTTTTTTATAAATTTGATATATAATTTAATTTTTATGAAAAACATGTATATATGAGTGTTTTAAAACATGACCTGGAAACGGAATCGCTCTAACCACCGGTTTTCAAGTCGACAGGTCGTTGACTAATTCAATAGTTTTTGGTCAGGGATCGGGTTTGGGGTAAAACGGAACGGTTGCTTTGATGGTTCTCGGGCCAAACAGTTCGACCAACTGGGTTAGGTGACTGAACAATCGGACCGAAGAAAACGGGAACTAGTTAGGTGACCAGTTCTGTTTTACCCCAGAACCGTTATTTTGACAAAAACCGTTGATTTGGTTAACAAACCATTGACCTGGGAAGTTGAATCGTTCGAACCATTCAATGATTTGGTCGTTTTTTATTTTTTTTTATTTTTTTTGTCAGAACGGGCCGTCTATTCGATTCGAACAATCGGATTGCTCGACCCGATAACCGAACCCCTAATCGGTTCATTGTTCGATTCAGTTTTAAAAACCTTGCTAAATACTAGGGGTGAGCAAAAGAACTGGAAAACCGAATTGACTGAAACCAAACCGAATAATTGGTTAATCGAACCAGTCGGTTCGGTGTTTTTAAAAAACTGAAGGTACCATTTCAATTTTGATTAACCAATATAGAAAACTGGCGGTTAACTGAACCGACCGGTATACATATATTTTTATAAATTATATATATTATAAATTAATAAATATGCATTATATATAAATATATATATTTATAATATATGTTATATTATTTATTATTTAAAATATAATATTATATATATTTTTATAATATATATTGTAAAAATTAAAAAATTGAAAAACCGACGAACCGAACTGACGGTTAAATGAATCGGTCAACCAATTAACCGATTGGTTTCAGCTCGATTTCGTTTACCTGTTTTCCAAAAACCAATACTACTGGTTCAATTACAAAAAAAGCCCCACAGTTCGGTTAACCGAACCGTGAGCACCCCTACTAAAAACAAGTAGTCATCAAAGGTTTATTAATTAGTTAATTAATTAAAAATAATAAATTAACTAGTCATCTAATTAATAATTAATAGTAAAATAAAATATAAAAAAGATAAAAATATTGTTGATTAATTAGACATTAATGAATTAATTAAAACAAAATTTAATATTTAATAACTTAATAATGTCATTGGCACTAATTTACATACTATATATCTTCCCTTTTGCAACAAACCAATGGAATGTGAAAAAATTTTCACCATTTATTTATGTATCATCACTATAATTTTTTATTAAGAAATATATACAAATAAATAATGCATAACAATTCTACATATAAAAAATTAGAACATGGATAAACATAAACTCCATCTCAATATTCAAAATAAAACATACGGTACAATTAATAGTTCAATACAAATTTGTAAGATTAATGAATAAATTAATAAAAATATTAATTACATTTGTGAAATAAAAATAAAAAATATTTCTATAATTAAGTAATACAAATTTGTAAGTTAATTTTATAATTAATCAATTTTAAAACTAATTTTAACATTTTAAAATTAATACAAAAGTAATTTATYTCRCGATGTTTAACTCTCCTTTATACTGACGTTTATGTCCAATGTCGTTAAAAACTACATTCCCCCATTAGACCTATTGATAGGTCGGGTTAGGCCGAGCTTTCACTCTTCATTATTAACAGAATCATTTAAGGCCCAAGCCTGAGCCCGGCCCGACCATCAGGCCTACAACTTGGGCCCAAGCCCGACCCTCATAAAAAGCCTGAAATCTAAAGCTCATGCCATTGCTATCGTTGAAGCCACTGAACAGAGAGAGAGAGAGAGAGAAATTATAAAGAAAAAAACATAAAAGAATGTAGATATTAAATTATTAATATATATTGTAAGAAATATTATATTTTAAATTATATAAATTAGTTGGGTCGGGACGGGTCGGGTTGTCGAGCTACCCGGCCGATGAACAGATCTACCCGCCATAAATTATATTGGCGGGAGAAATTTATAACAACATTTCATATAAATGTCATTAAAAAATAAATTAAATGTTGTTAAAACTGATTTCAACGACATTTAACAAATGTTGCAAAATGTGTTTTGCCAATTGGCACGAAATTTTATTTTTAGCAGGAGCGGAGATTTAACGACGTTTATATAAACGTTCATCAAAACTTAAAATTAAATGTCGCAATATCTTACATTTGGCAAAAATTATTTTTAACCATTGCCAAAAGATCTTTTTCTACGACATTTGTTAGAAACGTCATGAAAACGTTATCTTTTAATGATGTTCCTTAAACAAACGTCACCAAAAAATGTTTTTTCTGTAGTGATTAGACCCTAGGATTAGGAAATATGGTTTAGATATTTTAGTTGAAACATATTATGAAAATATGAATATTGATATATGAAATAAAAAATAAGAAATTAATAATTTATTATTTGAAATGTACAGTTTGTATGAATCTGAAGTTATAGAAAATATTCCTACAACTTGTTCATCTTTTTCTTCTTCTACTTCTGACCTTGAGCCCAATAGTAAAAGAGAAAAGCTTTTTTATTTAATAAGTAGAAGGCAGAAATCTGCTAGTGAATATTGACATTTTTTATTTTTTGAAAAATGCAAATGAGCAACATAGGACACTTGTCAATCTGAAAAGAATTCATTTTTAGGAAAAAAGTGTTTGGTTGATAGCAATATTTTCCCATTTTGCCCATTTTTGTCCACTCTTGTCCATTTTAGAATTTCATCTCAGGTAAAAATGAAGAAGAATGAGAATTGAACCAAACATGGCCTAAATAGTTCGATTCTAGGTTTGAAGTCTCAAAACGTTTTGGCTACTCCTTGGATAGGATCTTCGTTGTTGATGCTTTACCCTTTTGAGGTGGAATCTAGTTGAGCTTGTCTTTGACCTTTTCCTAGCTAACCCAAATCTACTCTTGCTTCTTCTCGATGCAACTGAGATGAACTTCAATCACTGCCCTTCTTGAGTCCCTAGGATCCATTAACTTTGATACCAAATGATATGTGCCTTTCACCTAAAACAAAGGAAAGTCACAATCGCTTGAGTTGTAGTGCCGGAGCACCACTTAAAGAGGGTTTTAATAAGGGATTATATATGATAAGGGCAATTTTGGGCCCTAATGTCAATAAAAATAATCCTTTTAATATAATTTCTAAAATAGGTTAACTTTTTAAAAAACATATTAAATAAGGGCAAAAACACTATTCATCTTCTTCCTCCTCCAAACCATCGAATAAATCTCTCTCAAAATTAATAAATATTTTTCCAATCTTGCTTCTGCCCCAATCGTGCAAACCTCAATGACCACGACCCACCAATGCCGCTGCCGCTGCCTCCGCTCACCTCCGGCAACACCAATCTGATGACATGTCTCTACTACACCAACCAATGGTGGGATTGGGATGAATACGCCGCTTGAGTGGAAGAGAATAAATATAGGCTTTCTGAAGACGACGAGGAGATTGTTGTCAGCTTCATCTGGGTGCAGGTCATCAGTGATGGAGTGGGAAAGTAATATGGATGAGAGCCAGTTGCAAAGCCCATCTAGGCTTTTGGCAAAGCTCCGGCCATTAGAGGCACCGGAGGTACACAAGAAAACATATTCATCTTTTATCATCAACATGGAAATATCCCATATCGCATTTTATGGGCACTAACGGTTCCCACCAATGAGACAATGACCCGAGTAAAAGGGGTCGTCTCAGCTAGTCATAGCCACCCACACTAATCTTGGCCAACCTGAACGTCATGCTTCATGCTTCACACAAGCATAAAGATATATCCTTTCTGCTATTCTTGTGCTGTTGTGCTCGAAGAAACATTAATCTATACTGCTAATAAAAGAGCAAATTGCCCCATTTTCTGGACTTTTCATTAGACATTTTTACTCCTTAGCTAAGCAATATACAACGGGCATAAAAAAGGACATATATGTCCTTTACTCTCACTCCAAATATTGTTCACTTAAAACAGATAAGAAACTGTCCACTTATAACTGTTCAAAAACTATCCACTTATAACAGTTAAGAAACTATTCACTTATAACTGTTCAAAAACTGCCCATGAATTATAAATAGTTTTGTCTTGGAGATACTGTCACATGCAAATGCACGTACATGTTTACTACTATACAATTGTGTCTCAAAGTTGAAATCCATTTGAGAATCCATTTTTGAAAATACAATAACCATAAACCAAAGCAAATAAACTTTGATATTCTTTCTGCTTCAAAAAATAGTCACAATAGCTTCAACAAGCAAAAGCAGGGAAAGAAAACAATAATAAGAAAGATGTTGATTCAAAGATCGTTTGAAGTCGAAGTCATTTATTTCGAGAACATTAGAAAGGGGAAAGCAGAAAGTTGAAAATTTACACACTGTATATATTGGTGATTGGCTGACTGCGAATGGAGGGAGAGAGACTCAGGGAATCCTCGGAAGAAGATAAAAGGTGGGGTGTATGGATGCAACAGCGGAAACACCGGGATTTTGCCTTTTTCTTTTTAAGAAAACGGCTTTTCATGCTTCATTACAAAGTTGTTTGTATACTGCTTTTGACGTGTCAATCACTCTGAAAATTTCTTTCAATATCCTTTTTTTTATATATTTTAAAAATTATATTAAAAAGACTATTTTTATTGATATTAGCAAGGGCCTAAAAATTGCCTTTATCAATTTCAATCTCTTAATTTTAATAATCACTAAGATGCCAAACAAGCGAAAA